GTGTAGAGGATCCTCTGGTCAGGACCGGCCGGGCTGCAGGAGGCAGAACCCGTCTCCCACTCTGCCTTTCTCCTGACCCAAAGCCCCACCTCCACTGCCCTCTCCAGCGAGGGTGGGCAGGGCTGTAGTATGGGTGGGGCTATGGAGCTGGGCGGGGCGTTGGGATAGGGTTGGGGCAGTGCCTGGCAAGGACCTCCCACCACGCAGTGTGGAAGGGTCTTTGTGATGACTGTGGATGGACGACTCCACCTCACAGGCAAGCCTCACAACTTGTGTACAAGCCCGGCTTCCCTTCCACCTGGAACTCCCAGGGACAGAGACTGTCTACCTCTCCAAGAGGCAGACAGACAGGCTGGCCTTAAGCAACCTCATTGCCTACACCAGTTCAGACCAACTCATGCATTGCAGGGTCTACCTCACTTGGCCATGAAGGGCGTGAGGTAGCTGGGAGCAGTGAGAATACACGAGACACCCATGCTGAAGAGGCAGAGGCCATCTGGGTCCGTCCAGGCTCTTTTGACAGGTTTGGTACCTAGCCTGGGATATCCTCACCATGCTTGCTAGAGCTTCCTCCACTGCCCCTGCAGGCTCAGCTTAGTGGGGAGGAGAGGTGGAAAGTATACAAGACAGTGAGCGGAGTCCCAGGCACACCGAAGTGCGCATGAACAAGGCGAAGACAAATTCTAAAGCCAGGAACTCAAGAGGTGTCAGAGACGCCACCTGCAAGTGGCTCACATGGAAGTCCCAGGACGCCAGAGGCTGAGTCCTCTGGTCCTGGCAGGGGCTTGTCCACCCTCTCAGCCCCAGGACATCTGCACACCATCCCTGCCTCGATGCCCAAAGGATTGCACTCACGGTAGCACCAGCGTATCCTCGGGTAGGTGGTGGGCCTGGGCGTACTCTTCATCGTGGAACATATGAAGTGTCCTCAGGACAGCGGCCAGGCCTCTCCCAGGTACCAGCACTGCAGGCAGAGTCCAAGTGGAGTGTGGGCTCCAGACCAGGGCCGTCGGAAACTCCCACAGTCAGACACCCTTCCCTTCCTCCTGGGTGTCAGGCCCTGGACTGGGACAGGGGCTAGGCGGCATCAGCTGGGCTGGACAAGACTCTTACAGACGTCCCCTGGGAACTTTAGCAGTTTCATTTGGAAGCTTTGGCATCCTCTCCTGGAGCTGACTCCTGATTGAGTCCTAGTCTCAAGCCCAGAGGGTCCCAGAAGTGCTAAGTATCACTCGACCTGGCCCTGCCTCTGCTTGTACCAAATAGGTCTGTACGCAGCACCAAGAGGGGTCCATGGGGCCAGGTCCTCTCCAGGATTTGCCTCAATGACTGCCATGTGCACTCACAATTCTACCCCCTCCTGCCTATGTGGATTGCTGGCACCCCCACCCCCACTCCACCCGCTTTCTTATCTAGTGAATACTACAAGGCCTAGCTTGAGGTAACTCCTTAGGAAGTCATATCTGGTGCCTAGTCCATAATGCCCTCCCATAGCTCCCTGACCAGCTCAAGTGCTCCCAGAGGGTATGGATTGTGTACAACTTCAAGGTCCAGCTCACGTCCCCTGTCCCTGTCCCCTAAATAGAAGAGCCAAACATGCAAGTGTCCCAACCCAGCCCGCAGCTGTAGTAATGTCAGAAGCCTGGATCTAAGGAAACACTGTGAACCCTGCTTCTAGGACACCCCAAAGGGCACTACTGTCTGGCAGAAAACAAGTCCCAGCTGTTGCTCTATGCTCCCTCTGCTAGCTCTGTGACCTTGGGCAGATTGGGTAACCTCCTCGGACAGTTGCTCTACCAACTCCTATGTGAGAGCCTCCCCTCCTGCCTGGTCCTTAGGCACAGCAGTGAAGACAAAAAGGTCCCCCAGAGAAGCACATGAGACCTCAGGAGGAGGCAGTGGTGTGCCAATCCTGGGTGTCACCTGGTCACAGTCATAAACTCTGCTGCCTGGGCCCTTTCCTGTTGCTGCATCACTGTTGCCTTGGGCCACCTGGTCGTCATTTCCCGGCATTGATGGACGTGCTGTGCCTACTGTCAGAGGTTCTGCAGCCAAGCCCTGACTACAGGAATCAGCTCCACATGCTGTAGGCATAGGAACCTCTGTCCACCGGGCTCATTCCCAACTATGACCCTGTACCCCATCTTCAAAGCCAGGTCCCCTCTGCCTCTTCTCTGGTCATATCTAGAGTGCCTTTGCCACAAGGCCCCATGCTTGCCAGTGAGTGCATGACACTTCTGAGGGTCCCGGGGAAGATCTCCTATCTCTGGCCAGGGTTAGTGGGGAGTGGGCCTAGCAGACTTCCCTTCCCCACAACCCACCATGCCTGAATCAAGCTGCCAGCAACTCACCCCAGAATGTGCGGCTGGTGCCTAAAAGCACCAAGGTGAGGACTCAGCCCTGCGACATCCCCTTACTCAGCTAGCATACCTGCTGGCCTCAAAGGAGTACCAGACTCCAGCCAGGTTTGATGTCTGCATCAGCCTGCTGCCACCAGCCATGGAAAGCATCCCACCTACCACTTGACGAGGGGCCCACCTTCCCCAGTACTCGTGCTACAGACTATTTCTTGGGGTAAGTAGAAGGGCAGGGCCACTTCAGCACTCCAGCCAGCCCCAGGTCCCCAGCCAGCCCCTCCTCCCCCCTACCCAGCTAGCCTGTAGCTCCAGCAGCTGCCTGCCAGCCTTTCACTGTTGCTGGCTAGATCTGGTTCTTGAGAACATGGTCACAAGTAAAACACAAATCAGATGGGCTTCCTTGCCTCCCAGGTGCAGGCCAGGAGCCCTGCAGACTTGGGAGCTGACAAAGCTGTTCCCCACCACTGCATGCCCCCCGGGTTCAATAGGCACCCCTTATTTCCACCTCACCCCCTGGCCTGGCACAGAGCCCCTAAAACTTTTTGGGTGTAGTTTGCTGTTGCTGTTTGCTGCTCTAGCTGTCACTTAGGGAAATGTTTCATGGAAAGAGTTTAGAAAACAGAGGAACCCTGTATGTTTAGATCAGCCCCATGGGCCAGGTGTGACCAGGGTATCAGCCTGCCTCCACATTCAGGAGCCACCCAAGCTACCCAGACCCTAGTCCAGGAACCTGTGCCACTTGTCTTTTGTGACCAAGATTTTGGAGGTATGAGTGTGTCAAATAACCTGTGGGGGGGAGATGATGCTAGATTTTTCCAGGTGGCTCTAAAGGCCACCCGCATGTCCTTGTAGAAACAGGTAGGCAGGAGAGTGATGCACACAGAGAGGGGGTCACCTGACAATGCAGCAGACAGAATAGAGGTGCTGTCTTGTCACAGACAGGAGGACTGTGGTCACAAACTTCGGACCATGGCAGCCACCAGAAGGTGGAGGAACAGGAAGAGCTCCCTGTCGAGGCCTTGAGACTTTAAACTTTGTCTCCAGAAAGAGGGACGGACCCTGAGGCTTTCGATGCTGGTTGGTTGACAGCCTCGGGACACCAAGACCTCCACTATCCACCTGAGTTCCCCTGACAGCAGCTGGCACCAGCTAGAAACCCGGCACCTCACCTACAGGGGAGGTGGAATGGGGTGCACTTAGGCTAAGGGTCAATGGACGCATCTTCTGTCCATATTGCCTCTGACCGTGGACAATGGCTCCTGGGGACACATGGCACACTGCAGTGAGGTAAGAATGGGCTGGATTGAGGAGGTACGGACTGAGAGTCCCACCTTGAAGACTGGCACCTGGGAAGCATCAAAACCAGCCAAGAGAAAGCTAAACTCTCCTATGCTTTTCTTTCTGGGGTGAAAACACAAACTTGATATCATGTGACAAGGGTCCTAGAGGAAAATACATGTGTGATGGAAACAGCCAAGGATGACAGGAGCTGCCCAATAAAAGCATTTTTCTGAATTCTACAACGGTCTTTTAGATGAGAATTTGTTGTGATTTCTTTGGGTGTTCTAATACTGGCTTTCACTCCCAACTCTGATTTTGTAAGCTGTACTCTTTTCCCATGGAGGGCATCCCCAAAGCATACAGCCCCGGGATGCTGAGCCCCACCCTACCTGGGACCACCTCGTGACCTGTGCAAATGACACACTGGGCATCATCTCAATTGACAAGACTCTATGGCTGGGGCCAACTGTGACTCCTAGGCAAGGGGTCCACCTTGGCTATGCTGTGCAGAAGCTGAGCCCCCTGTGGTGCTAGGAAGGAATGGATCCCAAGGGCATCAGGCAAGAGGTACCCTAGCCAACACAGGAAGTCCTCGGGTGCCCAGGTGTCACCAACACCACCTGGGTCCAGGCTTGGGGTCACTGGACTCATGTTGTTTTTCGACTTGTGACATATTCACAGAACCGTGAAAGGATTGGCTAAGAGGTGAGCCATGCTGTCACCTCTGCCCTCTCCTACCCTGGCAGGCGCGTCACACAGTGTTGGACACTGTTAACCAGCAGGCACATGAGCTGTTCCAAAAGTGACAATCTAGACAGCCTCCCTGTAAAGGAAGCCACCCCTCCCAATCACCAGGGGCCAGGACCCACATAAGCAGGGCCAGGCTGGTTAATCATTCATGCCAGTGGGGCCATCCAGGGAGGGCAAGGCCTGCAGCCCACAGTTCAGCAACCCCCACAGCAGGGCACACAGAGGGCTGGGGCATGCCTGAGCCTCAGGTTTCAGGCTTAGGTTAATCCCCAACTTGCCACACCTTGGGTGCTGCCTCATTCCTGGAAACCTTTTCCCTTTAAAGAAAATCAAGGTGCCAACTCACATCTATGTATCTGAAGGACAGGTGGCTTCAGCCACACATGAGGCAGAGCCAAGGCTCCAAGTCCCCAGCACTGGCTACTCATACACATGTGCAGATCCTGTTTGGGGGTCATCAAAGGCCAGACCTCTTTTCTAGTTCTCCCTTGTCCCCGGGGGACTAAGCCCAGGGTTCCCTAAAGTTCTCCTGAAGAGGTTAAGGGTCGTGGCTGTAGGCTGTGGGATCCCATGAAGGCCTGGGCTAGCTTTTCTGGAAGCAGCTGTCTAGGGAGCAGAGCCCTCAGCTTCAAGCCAGAAGATGCCGTCATGGGAGCTGCCAGCACCTCTGCCAGGGCTCTGAAGGCTGCTGTCCCCTCTGAGCTCCTTGGGTGGAGTGCCTGTCATCCCAAGGAAGGGGCTTCTAGCCTGCCGGTCTCTATCTCTTCCCAGGGCATGGAGCAGGCTGCCGAGGGCCTAGAGGATCTTTGCCTATCTGAAAATCCATACCCACTGCACCTGGGTTTTGGCCGTCAGCCTTTCACTTTCCAGACCCATCATGCCCTTGCTGCCTCTTAGAGAAATGTAGAGCACCCAGGGGGGCCTGGGGCACAATGTCACCACAGGTGGGACTGTGGCAGAGTCCACTTGTCCCTTAGTTGAGTTCAGTGGGACCGGAACTGCCCATACTTCAAGCCTGGAGGGCAAGCGAGAAGTAGAACAAGGCCACAGTGCATGGGTCGAGTCCCTGCTCTAGGGTGTTCTGAAGCCTCCTCTCTGAGTCACGCTCTGGGCTCCTCCCTCATCCCCCTGATACTGCTGCTCCTCATCCAAACACACTTTCTCCTCATCCCCCAGCCACTCCTTCCAGGAGCCTGTGTTCTCACAGGAGCCCAGTCAGAACAGCCCTCAACACAACCCAGGAGCAGTGCACACTGCTCTGGGACACACTGGCAGGAACTGACCCTCTGGGGCTCAGGGTGTCATTACATTGTCCATCACTCCAGTGAAGGCCAAGCAAACTGGTCATGGTCCTACCTGCTAGTGGGGTGTCCTCAAGGACATTCACCAGGGTGTCCCAACCAGAGCCAACAGGATGGCTCTGAGGACGGACTTCCAACAGCCTGGATGACCCTGCCCCTGGTGCCCAAGCTCTAATTGGAGGGCAGTCCAGATTGGCCCTAACCTGAGGAAAACTAAGAGTTCTCTACCCGGGAGAGAGTAGGCAAGCAGCCCTGCCTGTGTCCCTCCCCCAAGGAAGCAAGCACACCCTGAGGGCTTTCTTTCACTGGCAAGAGGGTGTGGAATGTTCCAGCATCCTTCCCATAGCCCTGGGCACAGAATAGAGCAATCTTCCCAGTTCCCTTCTCTGTCCTTGTGTCCCGTGGCTTCAGGGCGCCTCAGGTCTGGAAGAATTACCAGGCCCCTCACCCCTTCCAGGGCCGGGGCTTCAGCCTCTCAACTGCCGGAGGAAGCGTCGTCCTCCCCATCCACCGCCCCCCCCTCCGCAAGAGAGCCCTAGAGTTCCCAGTGGCCAGGCCCTGAGACCATCCTGCCTAGGGCGTGGGTTCGCTGACTCACCTCCGCCCTCGCTCCTCATGCCGATGGTGCCGCCTGTGTAGATGGCCAGCAGCCGCCGCTCGGGTCCCGTAGCGCGAGCCATGGCTGGGACAGCGAACTCTTCAGTGAGCCTGGGAAAGCCGTAGGGCCTTCAGGGTGGGGCTTACTGGAGGTCTGGGGCTCTTCTGTGTGGTGTGGGCAGAAGATCCGAGGTAGGGGCTGGACCTCAGGGTGTAGGAGGAGTCGCCTTCAAAGTAGAGAGCGGGACACTTGTGGAGTGCAGGAAGGATGTCTGCTGGGGATGGGGCTGACCCCATAGGGGGTGGGGCCTCATGAATGGGGCGGGTTTTCTGGGTTTGCCTCACCTAGTTCAGAGGCCAAAGACTTCCGAAATGCCCAGTTGGGTTCATTCTCCTGCCCAGGCAGCGCCTACAGCTCTGGGGTCCTAGCATTGCTGTCTGGATCCTCTACACACACTCCCTGAGTTTCTTAGGGCCAGGCTGAGCTAGCCAGTTTCAAGGGAGACTGGCACTCATTTGTGACCTAGAGGTACCAGGAGGGCAGGGAACTCAACTGCTGGCTCCCAAGAGTTGTTGAAACCCTGAAGCAGAGACAACCCACCCACTATGTTCCTGGACTTGGAACAGACCCAGCCCTTCAGAGGGAACTGTCCCCAGGAATGTCCCCTGCAGACTGCCTTAGGCAGAGGTGAGGCTATCTCAAGGTGATATATGTTCTCCTGCCTAAAACAGTTCAAGATTCCAATAGTGCCGGGTGGTGCTGCCAGCACTTAGGAGGCAGAGGCAGGCGGATCTCTGTGAGTTCCAGGCCAGCCTGGTCTACAAGAGCTAGTTCCAGGTCAGCCTCCAAAGCCACAGAGAAACCCTGTCTCGAAAAAAAAAAAAAAATCAAATCTCAGTGGCAGCAGGTTCAGAGCCCTGTGGAATCTCTTTGGGGGACATGGCCGCTTACTGTGTCTTTGGTACCTTGGTATTTCTAGGAATTTGGGCACCCAAGCCTAACCCATGAGAGCACCCCCTGGAGACCTGATGCACGGATCACAGGATGTGCCCCACCCTGTTAGCACACTGGCTTGGTGCAACAGGCCATACCCCAGCTCAGAAGTTAAACCCACGCAGGAACCAGGATGATTCAACAGTCACCACAGTTCTGCTCTCATTCCTCTGTGTCCACTTCCTGCTGGGGCATTCTCTGACTTCTAAGTTCCTGTTGTGAGGACATAGCTCTTGTCTTTCTTGAATTTGTCCTCCGGTGACAGAATAGCAATAGATAAAATGCTCTCGAGGGGACAGTGACAGTTGTAAACAAGAGAACGTGAAGAAGAAGGTAATGCTTCCACAGGTGGCCAAGGGCTCCATGAAAAGCTGCCACGATGGCACAGTCGGGGCAGAACATGGCAGAGGACAAACATGCCAGGCAGTGAGAGCAGGTACCCAGATCTAAGGCTAGAAACAAGCAATGTTGGGGTTTCTGTCAACTTGACACAAGCTAGCGTCATTTAAGAAGGACTCTCAACTGAGAAAATGCTTCCAAACCATTGGTCTGCCAGGCATTTTTTTGATAGACTGATGTGGGAGGGCCCAGCCCACTGTGGATGGTACCACTCTTGGGCAGGTAGTCCTGGGTACCATAGGAAAGCAGGCTGAGGAAACCAGGCGGAGCAAACCACTGAGCAGCACCCCTCCATGGCTTCTGCTTCAGTTCCTGCCTCCGGGTTCCTGCCTGGAGTTCCTGCCTTGGCTTCCTTTGATGAAGGGCTGAGTTGTGGAGCCACATAAACCCTTTCCTCCCAAGCTATTTTTGTCCATGGTGTTTATCACCGTAACTAAGACACATGGTAAGTCCACCTATGTCCACACTGGGGAGACAGGAGCACTCAGAGTGTGGTCACTGGCTAAGGAGGGACACTAGGGGACACTCTAGATCCTTAGTATGATGGACCTCTGCTACTGTTTGGGCTCGGGAAGCTGAGGAAGGAAGATTACAAGCTCAAGTTCAAGCTAGGCTACATGATGAGATCCTGTCTAAACAGAGCCAGACTGGCTGAGCGTTGCTTGTGAACACCTTTAATCTCAGTGTGGGGACAGAGGCAGGCGGTTCTCTGTGCGTTGGAGGCCAGCCTGGTCTACAGAGTGAATGTCAGGACAGCCAGGGCTACACAGAGAGCTCTGTCTCCAAAAAGGAAAAAAGAAAAGATAGAAGGAAAAGAAAAAAGAAATTTTTTGAATTTTTGATGAAGGAAAAACACAGAGGGAAAGGTTTATCTTGGCTCATGGTGTTATAGGCTTTGGTCTCTGGCTGGCTAGGGAACCTGTGTCTGGCAGAGCATCACCGTGTGACCCCTCACAGAGCAGGTCTGTTCACCTCATGACAGCCTATAAGAAGAGACAGACCAGGGGTCGGGACCCAATATCCCCCTCAAGGACATGATTAAGCTCGCCCCACTTGGTCCTGCCCTTTAAATATTCCTCCAACCTCCCAACAGTTCCCGGGGTAAGAGCTAAGGCATCACACGTGGGCATTGTTGGGAGACACTGCAGGTCCTAATGCTGGAGCTCTCAACTCCTGAGCTGGGCAGCCTCTGGACAATGTTGTTGCTGAGTTGAGAAAACTCAGGCAGTTAATGACCCTGTGTTAGTTAATTCTCTGTCACTGTAAAGTAATACCCAAGGAAGTCACCTTAAAGAAGGACATGCTTGTCTAGGTTCACAGTTTCCAAGGAGCATTGTGGGTACAAAGCTGCTCAAATCCTGTTGATACAAAAGGGGAGAGGCACAGGGGCACTGGGGTAGAGCAAATACATGTGTGGCTTTTTTGTTTACTAGTGCTACTGGTATGGGGCATGCTATGTAAATATTGATAAGTGCTTTGTCATGGAGCCACATCTGTATAGCCCGTCCCAGAGAATGTTGATAATACAGCCCCTTCTTCCAAATCCATCCCCTGTGAACTCACAAATGGAGCCATTTTTTCCCTCAAGGTTAGTGCCATCCGGATCCAGTTACCTCTCAAATGCCCTACCTCTGAATACTTGTCCTAGAGACTAAGTCCTTGGTCCTGCCCTGCCCGCCCCTCCTCGGTCCCTCTCCACTTTGGTTTTACATTGCCTTCTCCAGAGCAGAGTCCTCAAACTGCAGCCCTTGACCCAGCAGTAATAAATACCTGGAGCTTATGGAAATAGCAGGAGCCCAACAACCCGCATGGTGGCACACCCTCCGGAGGCTGCTGACACAATCCAAGATGAAGAGCCGCTATTCTACCCAGGGGCTAGCACACCATGGCTCACAGGGAAAAGCTGTCATCCCTGCTTTGAATGAAAGACAGGTTTTCCGGATGGCTGGGGCCACTGTGAGGGGCAAGCCAGGACCCAGGAACATTGCAGCTGGCCTTCCAGCTGTGAAACAGTTGCAAGAAAACCTGTCTCCAACTGGGTTCTTTTCCCACCCTTCTCCAAGAATGCAGTGGGCACGGCCGGGCGTTGTTGGCACACGCCTTTAATCCCAGCACTCGGGAGGCAGAGGCAGGCGGATCTCTGTGAGTTTGAGACCAGCCTGGTCTAGTTCCAGGACATTCTCCAAAGCCACAGAGAAACCCTGCCTCAAAAAACCAATAAATAAATAAATAAATAAATAAATAAATAGAATGCTGTGGGCAGACAGGTTACAAAAAGGAGATGCCCCGGGCACTGGATTGAAATGAAACAGGTTTGAGTTCCTGGTAGCTGCAGCATGTAGGCTGAGAGCTGATTCAACTCCCGGAAACAATGTAGCGCAAAGGTCTCTGAGGCCTTGGGATGCCAAGCAGGAGCCATCCATTGCAGAGCTGATCTTCAGCTCTGGGAAGAAGAGGGCTTCCAGTACCAACCAAGGGTCAGCCCTTGTAGAGCAAGCCCTCAGTGCTGAGAAGCTCACAGATTACCCCCACTTCAGGAGCAGCAGGTCTCTGAAATGATGGGTGGTCTCCATGTCTGGAGACTGGAAACAACCACAAGACTGAATTCCTGTCCACGGGTGAAACGTGGCATCTCAGAGGCCAAGGCAGGAAAGAGTTCAAACTTACAGGGCACCAGGTGGACAGAGCTGGATCTTGACTGACTAAATATGGACATCCAAGTAGAGCCCACTGAAAGTTGCTACAAGTTCACAGCCAGGTCTCTGCTGCTGCTTGACTGGTAAGACTGTTTCACCTGGGAGGGCCTGCACTCCTGGCCCCACTCGGTCCACCGGGTTTTGATGGTGCTCTGCGTTAACAGTAATCAGCACGGGAGTTCAGAGCTGGGCCTGGAGCGGTCAGGAGACTCCAAGAAGGCATTGTAGGGGACCCCTCCCTACCCCAGTGGCTGCAGAAGGGCAGGGAGAAGCGCAGGGGGCCTCCTGCACCACTGCATGGCCTCACAGGGCAGGCCACTGTCCACAGGGTGTCATTCCACCTAGGGGACCTCACAGCTGTGGTGAGCTGTACCACATAGGAGAAGGAAGGTACGTAACCACACAACATGTTAGTGTTCCTCCACCACCGTTGGTGCAGAGAAGCCCAGGAAAACAGGCCTCACCAGTACATGTCCAGCTGTCCAAGCTGTGGTTGTCTCTCTTGCCTTCCATTGTGACAGCCCCTGTGGTGACCACCGGGGATTCTGTGAGCCCTTCAGGAATGCTGCTCCATGGACCCTTGAGATGGTGCTGAAGCCTATTGGGCAAGCCAGGGAAGAGAGGCACAGACGGTGTGCAACCATGAGGACAAGCAGGGACATGTGGCACGGGCTGACGGGAGTGGGCAAGGCCATAAGTAGAAAACAGAGGGAGCAGCCTGAGGCATGGGGCTGGGGGCTGGCGGGGGGGGGGGGCGCAGACAGACAGAACTGAGAGATCTAGGTGCAGGGAGGGCCTTGGGGCCCAGGGAGACCTGAGCATCCTCGGCTGAAGGTCCAGCTCTGCAGCAGACATCAGTGCATCCTTTGGAGGTGTGATGAAGGCTTAGAGGGAGATGCTGTCACATGGGGATGGGCCACTCACCGGAAAAGGGAAATGGGTGGGCTCAGGCCACTGACTCAGCTGGAGCCTGCCCCATGTGACATAGGCAGGGCACTCTGAGACAACCACTGATCCAGGTGGGTCAGGCATGGGTTCCAGCTTCATCTGAAGGTCAGCATGGTCTTCTGTGAGTCACTGTCTCCTCAACAATGAACAGTCCCAGAGAAAACAGCAACTGCGGCCCCAGCCCGGCAGCCCGGCAGCCGCAGAACTCAACAGTTCTGGGCGCCACAGGGGTGTCACAGCACCCACACACCACTCAG